TTATTATTTTAATTTGTATACCGCCCTTCTCCCATAGGACTCAGGGCGGTTCACAGCATATTAAAAACAAATAGTAAACACAAAATACAAAAAATTACAAAATACAAAAATACAGAAAATAAACCCCGATAAAAACCGAATTAAAACCAAATATTACAAGCTGTGTTTCGAATTAAATACTTTTAAAATTATCCCTGCCTAAAATCCTCCCTAGGTCAGGCCCGCTTGCTGAAAAAGCCATGTCTTGAGGGCGCGGCGGAAAGTAAGGAGATCCGGAATCATCCGGATCTCAGGGGGTAGTTCATTCCAGAGGGTGGGGGCACCCACAGAGTAGGCCCTCCCCCTGGGGGTCGCCAGCCTACATTGCTTGGCCGACGGCACCCTGAGGAGGCCCGCTCTGTGGGAGCGTACCGGTCTATGGGAGGGAATCTGTGGCAGAAGTCTCTGGCACAGTAATAGACAGCCGTGTCTTCAGCTTTGAGGCTGTTCATTTGCAGATACAGCTGGCTTTTGGCATTGTCCCTGGAGATGGTGAAGCGTCCCTTCACTTTGTCTGAGTAGAACTTTCCACTGGAATCACTATAGATGCGTGCAACCCATTCCAGGCCTTTCCCTGGAGCCTGCCTCACCCAGCCCATAGCATTGCTGCTGAAGGTGAATCCAGAGGCTTGGCAGGAGAGATGGAGGGACCCTCCAGGTCTTCTCACATCCCCTCCAGACTCCACCAACTGTACTTGAGATTGGGCTCCTAAAAAGAAAAGGATTTTAATGAGATCTCTTGCATATAAAACGAGAATATGGACACAAAATCTCTATATTGAGAAAACAGTTACCTCTGAGGACTACGAGTAAGGACACGAAATTTAACCACATTTTGCTCCTTGTAAGGAATTGAAGAAATGGACAGGAAAGGATTTGGGAACAGTGAGCAAAATGTGTATTGGTGGGTGTAGCCTGAAAAGGGAAGCCACACAGGGCTCCTTTAAAGAGGAAATTGTGTCTCAATTTACATATTGGATGAGATAAAAGAGCTCCTTCATGCATTCAGCTCATTCCCCCTTTATGTCATTTTCCAGCCCTAAATAAAGCAAAGGAAACCCCTACATTTTAGTAATTATAATTTAATTAAAGCAATTAAAATAAAAGTCCTTCTGTTGATTAATCATGTAGAATTCTTTTGCACATAAAATACATGTCTTATTCTCAAATAAGAATAAGATAAGACAAATAATATCAGGTGCATTGATTAGAGAACAAATGAAAGTATATATCATCAAGAGAGTAAAAGAACTAGATAAAGATAAATAACCTTTATTGTCATTTGTTTTTTTACTGTGGGCACACTGGAACACATTAAAAATGAAATAATTTTGTCTGCTCTCAAAAATGTACACATAACACGACACACATATAAATATGCTACATACAACATTTGTATATACCTACACCCTTACATATAAATACATATACATTGAAATAGAATTGAAATACAAATGGACTGGTCACATAGCAAGAAGAACTGATGGCTGGTGGACCAAGGTAGTCATAGAATGGATCGCACTTGATCAAAAGCATCCATAAAAGAGACTAAAACAAGATGGATTGTGGACCCAATTGGCAAAAGAAACCTGATGACCATATTGGTTGGAAGCATGCGGAAGAGGCCTTCATCCTGCAGTGGATAGACAGTGGCTAAGATGATGATGATGATGATGATGATGATGATGATGATGATTCTCAAATAGCATTCCCCTCTTAAGAAAAGTGGAGACACACTCTTTTCTTTCTGTCTATTCATAGAACAATAGGAGGGCAGGTTTTTGTTAGGGTAAGTAAAACAAAGACCTGCAAAATTTCACCTCCGCTCAAAAATTGTTCAGCATAATAGAATAAGCATGCACAAAAATCCTTTTTAAAGAAAGTCTTTAAAGACCATAAGGGAAATGCTATTGTAATACATTTGAGTTAGCAAGTTAGCAAGGGAGGAGAGCTTCAAGAATCAGGAAATTGAAATGCTAACACATTTGAATTAGCAAGTTAGCAAGGGAGGAGAGCTTCAGAAATCAGGGAAGTAAGTGTAAATTAATTTGGAAAGAATGAAAATTGAATTAAACTGTTGAATATTGGAAATATTATAATATTGCAGTATAAGCTGCCGGGAGTTGCTCTTGATGGTGAGATACGCAGTGTATAAATTAAATAAATAAATAAATAAATAAATAAATATTGAGAGAAACAAGAGGGTTTGAACTGGAAAATAATATGGGAAGGAAGCCTTCTAGGTAATTAAAATCTGGCCCTAATATATATTTTTTAATCACAAGTTCATCAGAGATGATTAAAAATACCTTACATATAGTTTCAACAATCATTTGATAAATCTTTGTATATATTAATGACATTTCTTGGACATTACGTAGTAATAATACATGATTAGTATACGCCAGGGGTGTCAAACTGCTGGCCCGCGGGCCGGTTGCATCATGCAGAGGCCGCGTCCACCCCAGTTCCGGCAATGCAAAAAAAGTTGCGATAAGTCGCAACACGTCACATGACACGGCGAGTTTCACACCCGTGGTACAGGCAGTCCTTGACCTATGACCACGATTGAGCCCAGTATTTCTGTTGCTAAGTGAAACATTTGTTAACTGAGTTTTGCCTCATTTCACAACCTTTCTTGCCACAACTGTTAAGATTGCATCACTGCAATTGCTAAGTTGGGAACACGGTTGTTAAGTGAATCTGGCTTCCTCATAGACTTTGCTTGTCAGAAGGTCCCAAAATGTGATTAGATGATCCCAGGACACTGCAATAGTCATAAACATAAACCAATTACCAAGTGTCTGAATTTTGATCATGTAACCATGCGGATGCTGCAATGGTCATAAGTCACTTTTTTTTAGTGCTGTTGTAACTTCGAATGGTCACTAAATGAACTGTTGTAAGTCAAAAACTACCTGTACTCCCAATTTTTTTTCAACTCATCGCCTACCATACTGCTAAACAGGTTCCCTACTGCCTATTCGGAGAACAGCTCAGGAATAAGCAATGATGGAGTTTTATATGCCGCTTTTTCAACCTTCTGTGACTAAATCAGTTTGGAAAGCTGCTCAAAGGAAGAGAAGGTTTTTGCCTGGTGTCAAATTCACTTCCTCTCACTGTGTCTCCTGCACAGTAATAGATGCCCGAGTCCTCTGGTTTGAGGCTGTTCATTTGCAAATACAGCTGGCTTTTGGCATTGTCCCTGGAGATGGTGAAGCGTCCCTTCACTTTATCTGAGTATAACTTTCCACTGGAATCAGGATAGATGTATGCCACCCATTCCAGTCCTTTTCCTGGAGCCTGCCTCGCCCACTGCATGTAGTAGCTGCTGAAGGTGAAGCCAGAAGCTTGGCAGGAGATCTGGAGGGTCTCTCCAGGTCTTTTCACATCTCCCCCAGACTCCACCAACTGGGCCTGAGATCGGATATCTAAAATGAAAGGTGTTTCAGTGACCTCTCCTCCATACAAGAATTTAAATGGAGAGAAACGCAATATAGAGCAAACAATTACCTTTGAGGACTGCTAGTAAGGATAACACATTGAGCCACAGGATCATTCTTGCTCTGTCTAAAGACTGGAGAGGAATGGATGCCAAAGGACTTGGAGAAGTGCACAAACTTTGTGTTAGTGGGTGTAGCCTAGAAAGGAAAACCAACTGCCTCCTTTTAAAGGGAAAATTGTGCCTCCATTTACATATTGCTGCATGTAAATGCACCTCCTTATTGTGTTTGATTATATATTTCTTTGCACATGGATTTCACACATGCTTTTCAAATGAGGTGCCCGTCTGAGGAACAGTCAAGACTATTGCATGTTTTATTGTGAGTGCATTAAGGTGAAGGTCAGATTTGCATTGGAGTATATAAAGCAAGATCTGGCAGAATCTCCTCATTTCATAATACTAATAAAGTTGGAAGGGACCTTGGAGGTCATCCAGTCCAACCCCTGCTCAGGCAGGAAACCCTATACCATTTCAGACAAATGGCTGTCCAGTTTCTTCTTAAAAACTTCCAATGTTGGAGCATTCACCGCTTCTGGAGGCAGGTTGTTCCACTGGTTAATTGTTCTCACTGTCAGGAAGTTTCTCCTTAGTTCTAGGTTGCTTCTCTCTTTGGTTAGTTTCCACCCGTTGCTTCTTGTCCTTCCTTCAGGCGCTTTGGAAAATAGCTGGACTCCCTCTTCTTTGTGGCAGCCCCTGAGATATTGGAACGCTGCTACCATGTCCCCCCTCATCCTTCTATGTACACTTTAACTCTCCAGCTTGCTCCAGTCCATTAACCTCAAGCATAGTAGATCCTCTTAGCTTCCGATGCTGAATGAAAGGACCATTACCTTTGAAGGCTACTAAAATGGAAAGGAATTGGAGCAAAAACTTCATTTGTATTTCTCAATGGGTCAGTGGGGAAGTTCCAGGCAGACTGGCCTTGAACCTCCTGCTACAGCAAGAAGACAAAACAAAAAATGAAAGAAGAATACTGACGAATGAAGCTGCATTTCTAATGCAAAAGAAATTTACATAGCTGTTTTATGAAAGCAACAGTTTTTGCTTCGGTGAAGATTCATTTCCCCTCAGTGTGCATTTCATACAGTAATAGGTGGCCGTGTCTTCAGCTTTGAGGCTGTTCATTTGCAGATACAGCTGGCTTTTGGCATCGTCCTTGGAGACGGTGAAGCATCTTTTCACTTTGTCTGAGTAGATACTAGAAATGGAATTGGAATGTATGTATGCCACCATTAAAGTCCTTTCCCAGTAGCCTCTCTCATCCAGTACATGCTGGAGCCACTGAAGTTGAAGCCAGAAGCTTGGCAGGAGAGATGGATTGATTCTCCAGCTCTCACCTCATCCCCTCCAGAGGCCACCAACTGGCCCTGAGATTGGATACCTAAAATGAAAGGAGTTCCAGTGAGCTTTCCTGGGTACAAGAATTAAAATGGAAGAAAGCTGAACAGGGAGAAAACAATTAGGACTGCTAGTAAGGACACTAAGTTTAACTTAGGTATAAATTTGATAAATAAAACCACAGGACCATTTTTGCTCCCTTCAATGAATGGAAGGGAACTGACAGTAGAAGATTTTTGGGAAAGTATGCAAACTTTGTGTTGGTGGGTGTAGCCTGAAAAGGGAAACCATGAGCTTTAAAGAGGAAATTGTGCCTCAATTTACATATTACTTGGGATAAAAGAACCCCTTATTGCATTCACTTATAGATTTATTTGCACACATCTTAGATATATGATTTTTTTCCTCTGAGTTAATAGAACAGGTTTACTTTGCAGTATATAAAACAAAGACTTGAAAAAAAAGCACTTCTGAAAAACAAGGAAAGAGAGAGTAAACTTGCAAAAAGTCTTGTTTAAGGAAACCCATTAGAAACAGGATATAAAAGAGCTAGCAAATCTGAGTTAGGAAGTTGGCTACATGATTTCACAAAGTCAAACTCCATCTCTTTGTCACTAAATAGACTCTCTGAGTTCAATGTAAATAACTCTCTTTGTATTGTGCAAATTATTTTTTTCCTCTATGTCAGTTGTAATCAACCTGTGGTCCGTGGACCCCTGGGGGGGGGGGGTTATGATATAATCACAGGGAGTATGAAATAGCTTGAACAAATGTTATGATTTAAATCTTGAGTTCAGATGTTGTGGTCCGTAACCATGGTCAATAACCATAAAAAGTATTTAAAGGGGGTCCATGGAGAAAAAAAGATTGTGAACCAATGTTCTATGTCAGTGATGGCGAACCTTTTAGAGACCGAGTGCCCAAACTGCAACCCAAATCCCACTTATTTATCATTGGGTGCCAGATGGGTGTGGCCCACTGGGTGGGTGTGGCCTACTGGTGGGCGTGATTGGCATGGGTGTGGCCTTCTGGGTGGGCATGGCCAGCTCACCGTCACTTGCGTCAGGGACACTTGTGCTGGCCTGGGCAGGACTGGGCCAGATCTGAGAGTCTCCGGTGGAGGGGGGGTGGGACTGGTGCAAGCGCCCAGGCATGGTCCATTGGAGGAGCCTCACTGAGCCTCAGGAAATGCAGGGGGCCCATGGGCAGTGGCACGGACTGCCTGCAGCCCTGGGCAGCGGAGGTCAAGCACCCAGCCTGGCCCTTGAGCTCCCACGGCACCAGGACCCCACAGCCCTGCCTACCCTAGCCGCACTTCCCTGAGGGGGTGCCCAGCTNCACCTACTCTTGAATTTACTGTTCCTATTTGGTTCTTGGGCTGCCCATGTCCCATCACTATGTGGTAGTACTGATCTTCCAGCAGAAAAGATTAATATATTTCTAAGGATGCAGCCAAAAACTGGGCTCAGGAAGTGCTACTCTTGATTTTGTATGAACAGGTTGGATCTGCTTGAATAGAACACAATTAGTTCCTGCTACTTTATCACTTCTTGAAAATAGAAAGCAATAAGAAATTTCACAAGCAACAGTCCATGGGCCCACAAACAGATTCTTTTTGAAGACTATTGGTACTAAAACAAGTCATGTCTTAATTATAGAGTCTAGATTTAAACAGTCTTCCAAAGAGGTTAGCCCTCTTAGACATCTTGAAGGCACCACTGCATAATGACAATCAAACGATTGTACAATTTATTGCATACTTGCTTTTGGTGTCTTATATCCCACCACTTCTCCACAGCAGCCATAGATCTGTCCTCCTCTTGAGAGTTACTCTGTGGGAATAGTGATTATATTCCCAAAATGCAAAAAAAACAATTGTGGAAACCAGCCTTTAGCAGGCACTGAGCAGAGAGCAGAGTTGCAGCAAGACAAACCCCCATGGCTTCGACAAGGTGCTGAATATGTCTCTGCAGAGGAAGACCAAGGTTCATTCGGCAGCTGGTGGGTGTGCTTATTGTGAATGAGTTTGGGAGGAGGAAGAGGGAGGCTGGCTCCCTCCCTCTCTAATCCTACTCCGCACAACAGCAGACCCCTGCCGCCCCCTCTCCATTGTGCATCTTCCTTGGGAGTAATGTTGGGATTTAATAGCAACGTTACGTTTTCCCCCCTTAGTCATTCAGTGAATTCCTGTGTGTGTGTGTGTGTGGGGGGATTTTCCTTGTTGCAAAGGATGGCTTCAAGTGGGAATGATGCAAGAAGCCCAATAATCTTCCCTCCTTTCTCTTTTTTTGAAAGCAGAACCAGCCTTTTATGTTAAGGCTCTGCTCACCTTCCCAAACTCCAAACTGGAGTAGGACGAGGAAAATAGGACGCGCGCGCGAGTTTGGAGTTTGGGAAGGCAAGCTAGGAAAGTAGGACCCGCAAGTTTGGAGTTTGGGAAGACGAGCGTAGGACGTGCGCCTTCCCAAACTCCAAACATGATATTAAAGGGGGTGGGGGAAGAAATTATTAATAAGGGGGTGGTGTGTGTGTGTGTGTGAGAGAGATCCCCTTTTTGTAAGTTTGCTTACTCTGCAATGCTTTCCTTTCCCGACACTTTTGCTTCCCTGCTGGCTCAGTCTTTCTTTCTCTCTGCTGCTTCTGCCGCCCAGATCTAGGGCTGCAGAGCGATTTTGCTCCCTCCCCCCCACGGCCGATCTAGGCAGCAGAAGTGTTTTCGAAGTCTCTGGAACTTGCATCCATGGCCTTGGAGCGATTTTATGGCGCTTCAGCGGCTCGATGCGGGCGACAGAGGCCTGGAAAATGCGACGGGGAGAACGGCGGCAGTGCAATCTGCACGGTGGGTGGGGGAAACGGCGGCAGGGCGATCTGCACGGCGGGTGGGGGATTTCACGCTCCCCCACGGATGATCCGGGCGACAGAGGCTTTTTCCACCATCCAGCCCGTGCTCTCAATGCAGAGAGAAAGAGAGCCGAGAGCGCAGGCGCACATGGAGAGGCGGAAGGGAG